TAACCTGATAACGACCTGCAGCACTGGATTAAGGAAGAGGGTGAACATCATGAGGAGAAAATCTTGACAGCATTCTCACCAATCAAATTTGTTCCCAAACACGCTTGGCTTTAAGTTCTGTTAACCTCTTACTTCTTCTTGGATGGGGACTATCCTTGAATTGCAAACATAATTGGTCAAATTTCTTAAGGTTTTTTTTCTTGTTGACCTCTTTATGGGCGTGCCAGTCTTCCTCATCATCTGAGCCTCTATCTGTTACCCATTCATCTTCAAAAACATTTGAGGGAAGTTTTTTCTGGTTGTCCAAAGGATTAATTTCAGGCCCGGAGATGTAACCTAGGTTTTTGCCCCAAGGAGGGCTGTCCAAATCATTGTCTGAATTAGAACATCCCTGGAAATGAAGAGGTTTTGCACAGGCCATATCAAGAGTTTGGCCTGGTGTAGTGACAAGTCTTTGAGGGGTGAAAGCTGGGGCTGAAGCAGAAAGGGTGCCTTGTAGTGTTGACTGCTTTGTGGTTGCAGGGGTAATTAGAGGGCCATGAGGAGGGTGGTGCAGACTCTCTGAAAATTCCAATTTAAGTAAAGTGGCAGAGATGGAGTTTGAAGATTGTTGAGGAGAAGGTTGAGTCCAAGCACAAACTAAGGCATTGTCAACAAAAGGAGGGGGATGGGGAATAGAGGACCTCAAGTTGACATAAATTTTCTTAAAGCAGGAGATGAAAGAAGTAATCCCAGAACCTTGATTACCTTTCGGGATGAGAATCCAGGTCTTGCCGTCTTGGTGATGCTCACAGATTTTGAGATGGTTACCAAATCTGTAGGAGTGAAAAGAAATGGTGAGCAGTCTCCTCTTCTCTCTTCGGTAGGATGTACGCAGACCTCCTTCAATTGTAAGAGACTGAAGCGCCTCTAAGAGCCAAGAACATGTGTCCAACCCTAACCATATGTTGAAGCTTTTTTTCCAACATTTTTCAGTAACGCAGATTTTCTTATTGAAAATCGATTCAGTGAAGGTGAAAATCTTACCTTCAATGCGGAATTTGGCCGGTGCCTGAGTTTTGGCTTGAATTATCTCTGGGGGTTCTCGCCTGAGGGTTTCGGAGACTTACAATTGGGCAAGAGGCGGGAGGGGAATTGCTGTGTGACCGCTTCTACCATCTGCTTCTAGGGTTGTTGAAAATCCTCGAAGGACACCAATGTAAGGGCAGGAAGGAAGAGATCGCCTGTTGGATGGGCCAGGATCTCCGGGAAGGTTCAGCAGCGTCGAAGGGTGTAAATCGACCATAGAAGGAAACGGAAAATCAGAGAAGCTCTCCCTTCTCTCTAAAACGCACGCCATCTTATAGTGATACACACCAAACATTATATATATATATATATATATATATATATATATATATATATATATATATATATATATATATATATATATATATATATATATAGTCATGCAGAGCAACAATTGCAAGGACGATGAATAGTGACAATTTGGAGAACTGAAGCATGAGGAAGATGATGAATAGTGAAGGTTTCGAGAACATCGGCAAGAAGGATGATCCTGATGTCAATTCTAGCGCCAACGATCCTTTAATGCGGAGGGGATTTGTCGATCGGAAATTGTAGCCGGTCGCGGCGGCTTTCAGGGGCATCGATCCTCTAGTGCGGATTTGCCTGAGGCCACTATGAGAAAGGCTGAAGACCTAGGCTCGATTACCAACTACAATGGCAAGAGCTTTGAAATTAAAATAAGAGGGGCAGCGGTAATCATTCTCCTATAATGCATTCTCTCATCACAACAATCTAATATAATGCATTCTAGTAGTCAATATAATGCATCCTGTCAATATTCTGTTAGAATGATAGAACAACGCTAGAGGGGGGGGGGGTGAATAGCGTTTAATCGAGAAATCGCAAAAATTAAAAAATTAAAAACGTAAAGTAAAGAGCAAGAAAGAGGCACACCAATTTTACCTTGGTTCACCACAACTTGTGGCTAATCCTGTAATACCCCGTATCAAGATGGGAATGGGAAGAGCTCAAAAGGATTGATAGTACTACTCATACCAACAAGGTGCATCTTTTTTCGGGAGCTCATCACCTAGAAACTCCAAAGTTAAGCGTGCTTGACCTGGAGAAATTTTAAGATGGGTGACCTCCTGGGAAATTCCTTGGGCGCGCACGAGTGAGGACAAAGTGCGCGGGAAAGACGTGTTGATATACCCCTGGTACCTACGAAAGTCCTTAAACAAATTACCGGATTAATGACTAAATCTTACGATCCTTTTTGGAATGAATTTAACCCTCCTAAACCCAAACCCTTAACCATAATTCATTGGATTTTTCCTCACCCTAAAATAAACCCAAACAACCCATTTTCTTTCTTTACTGCCCAGGCCGTACCCCCCTTACCCCCACCCTTTCTTATCAAAAACACACCACATTAAACTCACCAAAATGACCCACAAATATTTCACCCCTTTCCCTTCAATTCTGGCTGAAACACAAGAGCCAAAACAACACATATCATCCCCATAATAAACCCCAACACATGGACCCCCTTTGTCCCCTACCCAAACAGCATACACACCCTCCATTTTAACCACCAAATAAGCCCTACAACTACACTCCAAAGCTAAGAATAAAACATCCCATTTGTTGAGATGTGTGGGACGTATAAACCCATCACAAACAACCA